TTTCCCTCCTGGCCTGTGCCCTCCACCAGAGCGCTCTGCCCAAGCTCTGGCACCACTCCACACCACGCCGGCTCAGCCTCTTCATGTTCCCAAGGAGAAGTAGTGTCCATGCTGCATCTGTGAGCCACAGCTCAGAACAGCCCTGCGGCTCAACACCAAGCAGCTGGGCTCCCAGAGGTCCCGAGAGTATACTCTGGGCCTGACGAGAGCCATGGGGACACAAGATACTGAAGAGCTGGGTCCAGAACCCTTCCAGTGTGGCCTAACAGGCTCACGCCACTTGAGCTACTCTGTTTGGAGGCCAAACTGAGAATCTGTCTTTATGTGGAAGCCAGAAATAGCCTGCCTTTGTTGAGAAGTCTGTAGCCAAGCAGACCTCCTTTGACTGACACCTAGAAAAGTAGAGATGATGGGTGGAAGATGGAGAGATAATAGGTAGGGTAGACAAATGGGTAGATAGGCAGATAGGTAAGTGATGGATGGATAATGGATGGGTGAGTAGACACAAAAAAGGAATAACTCACAGAAACAGAAGTGGACGAGGCACTAGCAGGGGGAAATTGGAAATCACATGTTCCAAACACCAGTCGGGACAGAGCCGTGGGTCTCCCCCTCAGACATTCTCATTCAGTTGTACGACTATTTAAAGATTAAAATTGTTTTAAGAAATTTTGACCCCATAGGTCTAGGCTGAGATCTAGGATTTCACATTTTAAACATTTAACATTTTACTTTTTTTTTAAACACACATTACTTAAGCTGCTCCAAGAACAGTGAAAAACAATGGAAAAACACTGCCTAAATTAGGCTAACCCAAACTAATTAAAGGCCCAAGATCCAAACTAGCCAAGGCCAAGGTCAAGGCTCACAGCTCTATGCTAACATCACCGCTTTTCCTTTCCCTAGAACTCCAGTCCCGGGTGTTCCCATGGGGTAAGGGGCAGGCAGGAAACACACCACCACAGGGCTCCACCGGCACCGGCACAGGGCACCGGCGGAGAGGCTGCGGACACCTCACCCACACAGAGGTGGGCATCTCCGCTTCGGAGTGAGGCTCCCGGTGGCCATGCACAGGCAGAGGCGACGTGACAACAGTCATGGCTTCACATCCTCTGCTTGCGGGGCTCTCATTCTACTCTCTCTCCAGTGAGCCTAACATCTGCAAAGATTTCTGGAGCCTTTCTCCCACAAGAGCCAAGCGTACATGCAGTCTATCACCAGTGTCCTACCCAGTGGTGAAGGATCGGACCCTGGCTGCCTCAGTGTCCCCACAAGCCCCTGCTTCACTCGGGTCCTTTTTCCTGATGCCCTCCCTCCCTACTCCCCTGGCTGCCAGCCCTGCCCCCAGCTTTCAGGCAGTACCAGAACCTACAACCTGGCATCCAATAGTCACTTGACTACAGCATGTCCACAAAACACAGGGATTTTAGCTTTCATAGGGAGGCTGCCTCCTCCCAGACCGGGGAATAATGTACGCTTGCTCTCAAAGCTGGATGCCACCCACAGCCACTGTTCCAGTGAATTAGCTAAAGCCATTCCCATCGCCCGCAACGTTGCCATTATTGCTCATTTATACCAGGGAAAAAGAAAGCGGAGGCAGGGCACGGGCGTGCCACGGTGCCCATCACTGAGGCGCTGGCTCCGGTCCAGGCCCAGCACCACTTGACTTCAACGAGCCTCCGTGCTCTGCCCACGAAGCAACCCATGCTGGCGTAGGAAGAGGCTGATGTTTAGCCTGCAAGACATCAGCCAATGCATCCTGACCCAGGGGCCGTTTTCCCATCCTCAGTGCCCAGCCGTCGGTCCTGTGCAGTTTAGAAGTGATTGAGCAGCTGTAGTCTCTGGCCAGCTACAGCCCCGCTGCCACTGGAGCAAACCGATCAGAGCCCAGAGCTATGTAGCCATTTCCCAACTCCACAAGCCACTGCTCTGCTGCGTGCTAGAGACGGCAGCCAAGGTCCAGCTGGACAGACAAGCTACTCAACACCGGAGGCCCTGGATGACACCAAGTGACCACACCTTCCAGTCCCAACATGTTTCGGAGCGACTCCTTGGAATCCGAACCATGCTCAGACACCACTGTCTCCCAACTCAGGCACGAGGAAGCAGATGTGAATCCTCCTGGGTGTGTGTGTAGCCCTCAGCACAAACACACACGGGTGTGAGGAAGCCCTGGTTTCCCCTCATTCCATGTCTCCAGACTATCACATCCACTGTTTCTGACCCCAGACAGCAGCAGACCTGCTGTTCCAGGCGTCCCCTCGCCCTTCCTCCCCAGCCCCTGCCCTCCCTATGGGCCCGCAGACCTTCACCCCACATGGTTTGAGGTCAGCTCATCAGCACACCATCAAGGCCCTTACATGCCACTCTGCCCCGAGTCCAAATAGCTTTTCTGGAACATTATTGCGTCATCTATTCATGGCGTCTAAGTTTAGACTCCATAGCTTAAGTCAGGCACTGCTGGCAGCCCAGTGGGGTGTGTGGATCCAGGAGGCCAGGAAAGTCAGCAGGTGCGCTCTGAACACAACTATGCCTCCCAAAATGGGGCTCATGGCTGCCAGCTACAACAACCACGTCACCCATGGTGGAGAGCTGTCTCAGGGCTCCTCCAGGGCCCTGCACTAAGCCCAGCAAGCCACCATGCCCAGGGAACTTGAGGCACAGAGATACTCAGGTGAACTTAAACAAAGGCCTAAGGAACAGAGCGCCCAGGGTCCCACGATGGGGATATACTAAAGGCTTCTCCGTGCTTTGGGGAGGTCTTTACTCCCTGTGCCAGGTGTTCAAAGCAAACCTGCATGAGAGCATACAGAACACCAACTAAACCGACATCTCACACAAGTGATAGGACGTTTTCTGAGTATAGCCCAAACTCTGCCCGGGGCAGATTCATACTAAAAACGTCCTATTCTTATCTGAAATCCCACTTTAACGGGACATCTTGTATTTGCGGTTATCATGTCTGCCAACCCTGTTTGCAAGGCCTGCTTGGTCTGGTCTCCAGTCCTCCCCAGGACCTCTGTCCTTACTCCCTTCACAGGACATGGCTTTCCCCGCTCTGGAGGCGGCCACTGCATCGCTCCCTCTGGGTGTACAGTTCCTCTGTACACTTGGACCGTAGCTCTCCCTCCTAACCCTCCATACAGCTGCTGTCCGCCCTGGTCAGCAAATGGCCTGGGATCACTGGTTAGCCCACACTTAGAATCCTTACTTTTCCAGCCAGGTTTAAACTCTCTCCTCTCCTGGCCCCATGACCAATGGGAAAGCATGAGTAGATGACGCAGCCCCCTCGTCCCCAGCAACCGTGGCGGGGAGGACAGAAGTCCAGCACATGGACACACCCAGATAACCACTGCGGAACAACTGAGTGACGACCCTTTGGGCAGAGGGCTGGGTCACGCTGAGGGGTCAAAGCATCCCCCCACAGCTGGCGCTTCCCACGTTCAATGTGACCTCTCTGTCCCTTAACTGGTTCTGAATTTTACCATTTCCACTGGCACTGCCCCCAGAAGTGTGTGCACACACACACACACACAGCACTTGGAACAGGCTTTCCTAAGCACTGCCCACTCACTGGACAATGTCACATTCCCGTCCCCTCCCTCCCTTTTCAAATGAGACACTCTAACCTGTAGGTAATAGCCACACTTTCCGTTGTAAAGAGCTTTACCGTAAATCATTTTATTTCAGTAGCCCTGTAAAGCAGGCCGCCCAGGGACGTTATTTCTCCAGGTAACAAGCAGGACGGGTGGCTGGCTGGTGATTACAGATTTTGGAAGCAATGCCTCATTTTCAATGCATAAATTCGGTTTAAATGTCACGTATCAGTGATGTAATCAGGATTTTTTTTTTCCAAATAAAACCCTGGTCGCCGTATTTGGGTAATGCGCATGGTGACCACACAGCCCAGTGTCCCTGGGCTTCCAGGGTGAGGGAGAGCTCCCCAACTTCAGGCTGCTCCTCCAGGCAACCATCAGACGTGTGAGGGGTTTACCTCCCTCCGAAGCTCCGGTCCGCACCCCGGGAGAGCAGGACGGCCTGGGCTTTGCTGGCAGAGAGCAGAGAGAACGCGTCCGGCGTCCCTGCCAGGAAGGGTCCCGCCCTGGGAGGATGTGGGGTCACAGCGCACCCCACTTTGCCCCAAGGCACGTGCGAGGCCCGGCGGAGGCCTCCTGCACCACCCAGCCCTCCGGGGTGAGGACCGGGCCTCAGGCCTGTGGGGGGCGGGAAGGGGGGGCGCACGACCCCGCCCCGCTCCTCCTGCCCCGCCGGACCAGCTCCACCGCACACACCGATCGATCCGCGTCGCCAAAGTCCAGCCCGGACTGCTGGCGTGGCCGAGGCTGAAGTTCGCCCCTAGCCCCAGAGAGCACAGAGGCCCCAGGGAGGAGCCCCCGGCCCCGCGCGCGAGCCCGACGCGTCCCGCGAACTGCTGGAGACGGAGACGCATTCGGGGCGCAGCGACCCGACTCCCCCAGCCCCGTCCCGCCAACCCCACCCCGCCGCCGGCCCTGC